TACAAAAATTATACAAATTGAACAAACTTTTATTAATTGCCACCCAACAATTTCAAACGTTTTATAATGAATTAAAAAAAAGAAAGTTGTACAGTTTCATATGTAAAGTGCAAGTTTCAAGTTACTAGGTATTTTCTTCTCAATAAATGAAATAGTCGTGCATACTTTATATGGAAGAAAATGCCCATCATCGTCGGCTAAACCATTAAAGTTCAATGCGATTTTGTAGCGTCTTTATGCTACTAAAATTTGATGGCCCATAAAACGGCATACCTAAAATTGGTTTAAAAACTTTGAATAAAAAGTTTCACATTTTTGGTGGAAATTGTTTGTTAAAGTTTTATTATTTTTGTACAAAGCTTTGAAATGTGTATTTACATACATATATGGTGCTTGTAATCTAATGTGCCAGACTTGTTTAAGAAAATAAAAATAAAATCAATAAAAGAAAAATAACCAAAACTAGTCAAAATGTCACATATGTGACTTACATCAGCTGACCACAACTGTACGTACGTAAGTATACATATAAGAGTAATTTTGGAAACGTTAGGAGTATTTTATAGTTAATAAAAGGCAGTAAATTAATACATACATAATTCGATATGGTAAATATTTATTTAGTTTTAGCTTGCAATAATATATTAACCAATCACTACAAGAACATACTAGCACTGCGCACTCACATTCAACAATAAACTCTTCCTTCATACGAGTATTAAAAGACGCCAAGATGTTGCGGTGTTTAACGGGACTAACTTGCAACATTTTCTAAACACTAATAAGATTAACGAAGAAGCAATCCATAAACAAACAACTCACTCAATCTCTCGTTTGTACTCGGCAATTTAATATACGTACAATATTATGTGCATTTAAGTCACCTATGTAATGAAGTTAAATTTTGGACAACTTCCCGAAAAAATATACAACCCTAGTGTATGGCATGTACTTTGATTTGAATGTATCGGAATTCGTTATGACCCCAGGTGTTCGTGTAACACTTTTTTGTTCAGCCACCGCTACATTTCCATGTTCTAACGACTTTCATCCTTTTGTTGTATATTCTTGTTGGTACATCCCTACTCCCTCTCTTATAATAATTTGAAGTCAATAAAACAACAATAAAAAAACCTGCAGACAAAAATGTAAATTAAGGCAGATGTTACAGTTTTGCACTGACTCTCAGTTTTGCATTGGACGTTATCTTTTACTTAGTTGGAAGTCAGATGACTTTTTTCTATATTGTAATTTATTGAAGAAGTGATCACCAGTAAATTGCGTAGTTAATCAGGAACCATAAATGTAAATAATAGATTTACTGCGGAGGGGCGGAACCGCACGAAAAGTGGCAACAAATTTTGGAATTTGCTATTTGAAAATGTTAAGACTTAGAAAAAATATAGCCTAAAGTGTGCCCAAGGACAAAGAAAGTCTGTTAAAAAATATTACGGTACGATATCTTGTGAACTTAGCAGAAAGTAGCGATGCAGCCACTATTACAGAAGCGCTTAAGGTATTCAAATTGAATGGAAATCAGTAGACAGCGGAAGAAGAATTGCCAAATTGAGCGCAAAGGCATCATAAAGAAAAAAAAAGCAAATTTGATCATAATACATGTGCGAGTGTGGCAGCATTTCGCTGCATCGCACGAAAACCGAACCGTTGCCTATTGGTATATGTTAGACCGTTCAGAATGCAATAAAAAACATATTTTTAAGTTTCAATTGAAGGTTATTTGACCTGACAAGACTAAATTAATCGCTTTCAATCAGATGGCCGGGCATAGTATTGGATCAAAAGCCCAAATTAAGCCTAAGCGCATCATGTACTGCAAACTGTGAATCACAGTGGTAGGATCTTAATTGTTTGGGGTTGTATTTCAAAAATTTTGTTGGTCCGTTAGTACGCATTATGCGTAAGGAACAGTATCTGTTCATATTTCAACAAAATTTGCAAGATGTAGTCGAAAAATGAGAGTTTCTGCTGAAAAATCATCCAAAACATACTGCATATGTTCGCAAAGACTGGTTACAAAAGCAAAAATTTGCTAATTTCAAATGACCTCCACAAACCGCGAACATGAATCTCATCGAGAATTTGCGAAATCAACTAAAAGCACAGCTTAATAAGTATCAAAGTCCGTAAAATCGAGTACATGAGCTGTGAAAGCAAACTAAGGATATACCTCCAGAGTTTTTAGAAAGATACAAATATGCCAATCGCATCCAGGAACTGAAACAGGCAAAAAAGTACTGAACATTGTGTTAGTAGTTCTTTTTTTTCTTGAAAATTGTTAAAAAGTTCTTAAAAATATATGAGTGCAAAACTGTAACATCAGCCTTAATTTACATTTTTGTTCGCTGGTTTTTTTATTGTTGTTGTATTGACTTCAAATAATTATGAGAGATGGAGTAGGGATGTACCAACAGGAATATACAGCAAAAGTATGAAAGCCGTTAGAACTTGGAAAGATAGCGATGGCTGAAGTAAAAAGTGTTACACCGTGTTACAGTTTTGCCCGTCACTGTATGTCCCCATAAAATTAAGTCGTTTGGCGAAATTGCTTTGCAGCGAACAGTTATTCGTTTTTTGGTCAAATATTTTTTATACTACAAAATTGGCGTCTAACAGGTCTATTTTGCATGTTGCTGAAAATTAGGTAACCGGACAATTTTATTGCCAACATTTTTTACCAGTTCTTGTAATCGCAATTCGCTAGGTACATTGGTAACACTGGCAATTTATTCGGCAATTCAGCTATGGATATTTGTAGAAATCCTGTTATTGCATATTTCACGGGCTAATATCATGTTACCAGCTTATAAAGTTTAAAAATAGGCGGGGACTTTATTTAACGGTCACAAAAGTTTTATTACTAGCGCAGAACGGACCAGTAATAAGGAATCTTTTCTCGTTCGATCATCAAACATTCTTTTTGCATTTGCAAAAAATAATGAGTTACTGTTGTGGCAAATTCATTCCACTGTTCGAGCACTGAACCGGAAGTACTGAACCAAAAGATAGAGCCTACCCGATTTGGTACATATGTCATATGTTGTGTTTGTGTTCAATAAAA